GCTTTTGTTTTCCCTACAGGAGAAGAAAATGCTCAAGATGGCAAAGGAGGAGGACGCGGAGGATGCGGCGGAGGAGGCCATGGAAGCTTCCTCTTGCCCCCTTCCACTACCACAACAATTTCCCGCTCCCCAGTTCCCCCGTTCCCCATTTGTTATCCTCATCCCCCTCCTCTTCTCCCCTATCTTCTCCCCGTCACTCTTCTACCGTCGGCCCTTCTTCTCCTCCTCGTTTCTCCCTCTCCCCCTTCCCCTGTGACCCCATCTCACCCGCTTCCCTTCCCTTTCCCCCCAATCCTCCCGCTCCTCCCATTCTCTCCCCCCCTCCTTCCCCTGCCTTCTCTCCCACCTACTCCACCTCGCCCTCTCCTCCTCTTCTTTCTCGTTCTCCTTCTGCTTCTCCTGCTTCTCCTCCAACTTCCGTCTCTGTCAAAAAATATGGACGACGCCTCTGGTGAGTCACCGCCGCCCCCTGCCTTCCTGCAGCCGCCCTTGTGGCGAGATAGCTTTCCCCTCCCCCTCCCCGCGGGGCCGATCTCGGCTTTCTCTCCCCCCCTCCTCTTGCACGCCGGCCGATTCGCCTCTCGGTGCCCCCGAATGGCCACACTCTGGAGCGGACTGCCTCTGCCTCGCCGCCGACGAAGCAACGTTCCCTCAGGGCTTGGCGGCAACCCTCGGGAGGACTGGGGGGAGAGTCCTTTGTGGTCGTCCTCTTCGGGTCTCTGGGGGCTCCTCCTCTTTGGGTGCTCTGGGCCTCGTTTGGGGTCTCTTCAGGCTCTGTGAGGCCACCTTGTTTTTTTTTTCCGGGGCGGGTCGTCTTCGGGCTCTGTTGGGCCACCTTGGTCTTTTTGGAGGGGAGGGGAGGCCGTCTTCGGGCTCTGTTGGGCCACCTTGTTTTTTTTTTGGGGGGGGCGGCGGGTCGTCTTAAGCTGCTCTGAGGCCGTCTGGCGCTTTCGATGATAGTCTTCGGAACTTCTCAGAACTGCCTTGGGGACCTCTTGGGGCTCCTTCAAGCCGTCTTGGGGAGTCTCGTGGGCCATTTAGGGATTGCCCTGGGGCCGTCTTGAGGCCATCTTGGGTCGTCTGGGGGCCATCTTGGGGGCCTTCTTGGCCAGTCTTGGGGCCCTCTTGTGGGCCGTTTGGGCCGTTTTGGGGTCGTATTGGGGGGCCTCTTGGGCCGCGTTGGGATTTCGAGAACGTGAACGCCACTCTCACAAAACCTCAGGAAAAACAATGCTTTTTGGCATCTTGAGGGCCTTCTGGAGGTCCTCTTCGAGTTCTCATGGGGCGTCTTGGGGGCTCCTTAGGCTGTCCTGAGGCCATCTTGGGCCGTCTGAGAGCCATCTTGGGCCGTTCTGGAAGTATCTCAGGGGCCATCTTGTGCTATCGTCGGGCCATCTTGGCCGTCTTGGGAGCGTCTTGAAGGCCATCTAGGGCCATCCTGGCCATCTTGGACAGGACTCTCTAGATTTTATGGTGGTTTCGGGTGGCGGCGGGTTGGGCCGAAGGGTCCAAATCAGCAAGTCAATCGGCACGCCAAGCGCTCCTCCAGCAGGCTACGTTGACCGTTTTGGGGCCATCTTGGGCCATGTTGGAGGCGTCTTGGGGCCACAGTGGGATCTCTTCTGGCCATCTTGGCCGTCTTGGGGGTGTCCTGGAGTCGTCTTGGAGGCCACCTTGGGCCACCCTGTCCGTTTTTGCAGAGCGCCTTTTCGGGCAGGCAGGTCTCTTCCGGCCGGCCTGCGTGGTTGGCGGCTTGGGCCACTTCGGACGGGGCTAGGACGAGGATAAGTCCTTTGAATCAGTATCGTTTAACCAACCCCCATCCCCATCCTCATCCCCATCGAGACCCCCACCTAATTGCCACCCCAGTTGGGGATACACCCCTCGAAACTCGAAGGGAACTGCCTGTAGCCTATATCCCCATCTAGGGGGGTACATCGGCCAGTGGGGCCCAGGCCATGCCGCTGGGGATGGGGATCGGTTAAACGATGCTCTTTGAAAGATCGTTCCGGAATGCTCTCAGAGCGTCCCGGAACGCTCTGAGGAGGCCGCGGCGCCCGAGACATACCCCCGGAGCCGCCGGATCTCAGAGATTCTCCATCTATCCCCACCCGATTTTACCCTCGTCCTGGCCTCGTCTTACGCCCAGAGTCTCGACCCATTCCCCAGGACCAGTTTCTCATCCCGAGTCCTTTTGACACTCCTAAGGCCCAGCAAGGGCCCCGAGAGGCCGAAAATAGTAAACACTTCCCGTCGTAATAATTTCATGACTCGAGGGGATCCTGGCTTCGTCATGGCCCGGCCTCGATCTATCCCCACCCACTTTTATCCTCCTCCTGGCCTCGTCTTTATCGGCCACGCGCAGAAGGGGTAGGGGGAGGGGGGAAGCCTTCCTAGAAGCACCCCTGCTTCTTTGAGGGCGCGGGCCTCGTCCATAGATGCAAGGCTGGCGCCTTCCAAGAAGCAGCCTCTGAAGAAGCCTCCCCTCTCCCTACCCGCTTATGTGCGCGCCGCCAAGTCTTACCTCTGGGAGGTCAAGCAGGAGCCTCGGCATCTGACGCTCCAGCGCCTCCGTATGCCGTCGGGGGCGGCGGGCCACCCGATCGCTGGCGAGAGGCCTCGGGGGGCCTCTTCGGGGTGTCTGCAGGGGCCTCTCGGGGCTCTCCCGGGGGCCTCGACGACGACGACGACGACGACGACGACGACGACGGCGGCGAGGACGATGACGACGACGGTGGTGGTGATGGTGATGATGCGGATAATGCTGATAATCATCACCGCCTTGCCGATAGACAGCGCGCAAAGCGCAACTGTCATCCGCTGACCAAGGTTCAGTGGTGCTCTTGTGAGCCTCTCTGGAGTGTCTTGGGGGCACCCCTGGAGGCCTCTGGGGGGCCCTGGCTCTCTCGGGGCCATCTTGGGGCTGAAGGCTCTACATGATGGTGAAACCCAGGGAGATGTCGGGCCGTGCAGGTAGCCTGGTGGGGGGACGGTGCGCGCGGGTGGGAGAGCAGGGAGGCACTTGCAGAAGTCCGCCCGAGCAGCTCACCTGCATGACGGAAAGAGCGCTGGCGAGAGAAGTTCTGTACAGGGCTTCAGCCCCAATGGGGGGGGGTCTGGGGGGGGGGGGCGTGGCGGAGGAGAATTTTCGAACACGCCTTCTGGGGGCCATGTTGGCTGCATTTTCGGCCCAGGACGGTCCAAGAGACCCCCAAGAGGCCCCCAAGGCGGCTGAAGATACCTCCAAGACGGCCCAAGAGACGCCCAAGAGGCCCCAAGACAGCCCAAGAGCGCTCCACAAGGGGCGAAGATGGCCCCAAGACGGTCCAAGAAGCCCCCCAGACGGCCCAAGAGGCTCCCACGAGGACTTCCAAGAGGGACGCTGGAGGCACAAAACATTGATTTCCTTAAGATTTTTGAGGATTTGGGGTTCTCGCTTTTTCGTGTCAAAGGCGGCCAAACACGGTTCTGGGGGCCTCCGAGGTCGTCCCCACACGTCCCTAGGGGCTCCCAAACGGTCCACGAGCGCCTCAAGACGGCCCAGGAGAGCCCTAAGACGAGCCAAGGAGGGCCCCACAGAGGCCCACTAGCTTCCCAGGAGAGCCTCAAGGGAGCCACAGAAGGCTCACAAGAGGGCCCCGAGAGCGCCCCAAGCTGGCGCAAGCCCCCCAAGACGGTCCAAGAGGGCCCCAGAAGGCTCCCAAACGGCCCAAAAGATCCCCAATGGGCTTCCAAGAGGCACTCCGAGATGCCTCCAAGAGCCTCTTACGATGCCCCATTAGGGCGAACCGTGCCGTTAAACACTCTGACCGCCAAGGCTCCTCGGAGCGGACGGTGACATAGCAACTCCGATCACCACGGCGGCCGTCCTACTCTGACTCGCACTCCAGTTTGCTCCAACAAGCAGCATGCATGGCAATGCCTATGACCAAATCGCTGCCGCGTAAACTGCCGCCGAACCCCCTAGACCGTGTGCAATATTCGCTCCACGGACTCGCTCTTCCCGTTCCCGTCCTAGGCCAGGTTCCTATCGAGACGCTTTTTTTCGACGCCACTGGCTCAAGACGCGTCACAGACAGCTGAGTACTGAAAGCAAAGAGGTTCTAACACGCCTTCTGGGGGTCATGTTGGCTGCTTTTTCGGCCCAGGACGGTCCAAGATACCCCCAAGAGGCCCCCAAGACGGCTTAAGATACCGCCAAGACGGCCCAAGAGACGCCCAAGAGGCCCCAAGACAGCCCAAGAGCGCTCCAAAAGGGGCGAAGATGGCCCCAAGACGGTCCAAGAAGCCCCCCAGACGGCCCAAGAGGCTCCCACGAGGACTTCAAGAGGGACGCGGGATGCAACAACCATTTAGTTCCCTAAGATTTTTTGAGGATTTGGGGGTTCTCGCATTTTCGGATCAAAAGCGGCCAAACACGGCCCTGGGGGCCTCCGAAGTCGCCCCAAAACGTCCCCAAAGGCACCCAAGCGGTCCACGAGCGCCTCAAGACGGCCCAGGAGAGCCCCAAGACGAGCCAAGGAGGGCCTCCGTAGCCATTTTGGCTCAAGCAATTTTGGATCAAGTCATTTTGGCTCAATCTGGTCTGGTACAATGATCAAGCATGCTTTGGCAAATCAATCTGTCTTAGGCTATGCTGTCTTTGACCGTCCCTAGACCGCTCGTGCCCATTTTTCCAGATGCCTGGATAACTTGGGCCGTACGGTTTCCGGCGTCTGGGGAAAACCATTTCTAGGTATGTTCCTATGTGTAATGGTTGGTCGGGCACGTTCTTCGCGTGCGTTGCCATCCTTCGTTTTTCAGGTGAGTGCAGTACCTGTTGCTCGACCAGTTTCGCACACGCCATTGTTACATCCAAGGTGCCTTATGGTGAGCAGTTTTGGCCGTGTGCAGAATAGGTCAGGAAACATTGTAGTTGGCAGTTTGACTGCAAATGGCTATCGAGTAATTAGATTCGATGGCCGCGTCCGTCGTGTCCATCGTCTTGTAGCAGAGGTATTCCTTGGGCCTCCCCCAACACCATGGCATTCTCAGATCAACCATAAGGATGGAGTTAAATCGAACAACCATGTGACTAACCTAGAGTATGCCACACCTTCGCATAATACTCTTCATTCGTACTCTACCAACCCAGATCGTAAGACTGGTGGGTGGATGCTTGCTAGGCCAATATTGGGCAGATTCGTTGGGACCGGTGTGTGGGCCCAGTACCCATCTATGGTCGAAGCCGCGCGACAATTGAGCCTAAGTTCGTCATGTATTTCAAGATGTTGCAGGAATTTGTTGAAACAAACCCGCGGCTACGAGTTCAAGTATGCATTGACCGATGTGTTAGAGAATGCTCCTGGTGAGGAGTGGAGACAGGCAGTGCATCCAGACAGGAGAGAGTCTGTCTCATTGGATTGTGAGTTCTGAGGGTCGGGTTAAATCTTCAAGGACATGCGTGGGCTGGGGCACTCGATGTCCCGATCAATATCTAAGAGTAAACGTCGCTGGAAGGTCGCTCTCTGTGCATAGACTTGTGGCTCGCGCTTTTATCGGTCCACCACCAGATCCAGAACGCCGTGAGATCAACCACATCGACCGCGATCAAACGAATAATCGGGCTTGTAATCTGCAGTGGGTCTCGCGCAGTGAAAACATATTACATTCTTACAAAACGGACCGAATCAGGGGCCCAATGGCGCTCGGCAAACCTGTTGTCACAAAAGATTTGATCACCAAGGAAACAGCACAGTACCCGTCTATGCTAGAAGCTGCTCGCCGCCTCAATTTGAGTTCTTGGAGTGTTTATGCTTGTTGCTATGGAAGGGTCTCAAGTGTTGGCACGTACACGATCTGGTTCGTTGAGCAGCAGGTCCCCAACGTTATGGTTGGGGAAGAGTGGCGGCCCTGGTGACCTGGTCAGTTCGACATCAGAAGGTAGCCTTTCCAGGTGCGCAACGACGCATGTCTGGCAGCGGGCGTCCTCGATGCAGATCGACTGAACCTGTGGGGCCTGGAGAGCTGTGCAAGCCCACTGTGGAGATCAGCTCTCGCTACCCAGCCTGCCGAGCGCTGCGAGAACCACCCCCCCTAACAAAAAAAGAGGCCGCCACGACGGCCCAGAGGAGGCCCCGAAGATTTGGACTGAAAACGGTAAGCTGCCTCGTGAGAGGTGTTGGCCAAGCATTTTCGGGCGGAATATTTGGGTAAGGGAATGCCGCCTTCACGATGCATAACATGATTTCCCCGTCAAGGGGGAGTTATCGTGGTGAATGCATATTGAAAATCGAAAAAAAAAAGACGAGCCAAGGAGGGCCCCACAGAGACCCAAGAGCCTCCCAGGAGAGGGGGGAGGCCCAAGGAAGCCACAGGAGGCTCACAAGAGGGTTCCGAGAGCGCCCCAAGCCGGCCCAAGCCCCCCTGACGAACCAAGACGAGCCAAGGATGGCCCCACAGAGGTCCAAGAGCCTCACAGGAGAGCCCCCAGGGAGCCACAGGAGGCTCATAAGAGGGCCCCGAGAGTAAGCCCCCCCAGACGGTCCAAGAGGGCCCCAGAAGGATCCCAAACTGCCCAAGAGATCCCCAATAGGCCTCGAAGAGGCACTCCGAGATGCCTCCAAGAACCTCTTACGAGGCCCCACTAGGCCGAACCGTGCCGTCAAACACTCTCATCTTTTCCACCACAACCACCAATCTGCATGGCCGTGGCTGGACTCTTTCATCACGGCGCGTTCGACTAAGTTCGTTCCCAATTGGCACTTCGATTTGCCGACCGCGCCTGAGGTTCCTCTGCGCCGCCGGCTTAAAAGTGTGTAGGTGTATCTCTCTCAATAGTGTTTGTTTGATCTCTCTCTCTCTCTCCTTGTCTCTCTCTCTCTCTCTCTATATATCCCCCCTTCTTTGTCTCTCTTTCTTGCTCTTTCGCTCTTTCTCTCATCCCTCTCTCTCTGACCACCTCTCTCACCCTCTCTCGCGCTCTCAATCCCCCTCTCTCTTCCTCTCTCGCTCTTCGGGTCGCTCTCGCTGCCGCTTCCTCCTCCGTCGCCTTCTTCCCTTCCTCTCGTGGCCCTTCCCCCTATCCCTCGCCCTCTCCTCTTCTCGCTCGCTCTGCTCCTGCTCGCAGGCCAGCTACATGAAGGACCGGCGCCGGACGGAGAAAATGGCCGAGAAGGCCTCGGGGGCGGCCAAGAGGGGGGTAATGTCTAGGGGGAGGGTGGATATCATGGCGTGGGCCATGATATTTCTCCGGATTTCATGGCGCCTCGTCTTATTTCATTACGGCCCTGCCCCCCCCCCCCCAGGGGCCGCGCACATGCCGCCGGCCATTATTTGCGCCTCCTCCCCTTGGGCGCCCCCCTCTTGGCCGCCCCCGGAGGTCCTGAAGGAGGAGTCCCACATTGAGAAACTCCAGGCGAAGGAGGTTGCCGACCTGACCAGGGAGTACGAGTCGATCCACAAGGCCAACATGAGGCAAGCACTCCTGAACTCGGGCGGGGTGGGTTGGCGGGTGGGGGCGGACAGGGATGGGGATTGGGAGGCGGGGGGAGAGATTGGGGAAGGGACATGATCGGGGGAGGGGACTTCTTCACTCCCTTCCAGGGTCCATTTCGATCCGATCGATCCGATTCGATATCGATTACGGCTGGCGATTGCGATCGCTAGGCGATCCGATGTGGACCGATGCTTGCGGCGCAGCGTGATTATGTACCTTGGCGCAGCCGATCCGACTCCGACTCCGTGCCGATGCGGCCCGACCCGATGTACGTTCCTACCCGGTCCGAATCCGCAATTCGATGCTGACTGATCCTGCAATTCCCCTCCCCTTCCATGAGATGCTCGTTTTGGGGACCTTCCTGGGGTCCATCTAGCGGATCTGTCCGACCCTAGTTCGAATCTAGTTCGATTTCGGTCGACGCTAGTTCGATTCGGGTTCGACTCAAGTTCGACTTTAGTCGGTGGACGTTCGACGCAGCATCGAAGCATGAGTAGAGCGAGTGGCTCCAGGAAGGTCCTCAGAACGAGCATCTAACTTTTCCCTCTGGACGCGAGGAACATCGCGGAGGCGGAGAAGCAGACAAAGAACCGGCTCTGGGAGGAGGCAGACAACCGTCGTAATGCATCCGCCTCCGGCGGAAACCTTGAGATCACCGATGTGGCGAACCTGCTCGACGTGACTCAGGAGGAGGAGGAGGAGGAGGAGGAGGAGGAGGAGGAGGAGGAGGAGGAGGAGGAGGAGGAGGAGGAGGAGGAGGAGGAGGAGGAGGAGGAGAGGAGGAGGAGGAGAGGAGGAGGAGGAGGAGGAGGAGGAGGAGGAGGAGGAGGAGGAGGAGGAGGAGGAGGAGGAGGAGGAGGAGGAGGAGGAGGAGGAGGAGGAGGAGGAGGAGGAGGAGGAGGAGGAGGAGGAGGAGGAGGAGGAGGGAGGAGGAGGAGGGGAGGAGGAGGAGGAGGAGGGAGGATGAGGAGGAGGAGGAGGAGGAGGAGGAGGAGGAGGAGGAGGAGGAGGAGGAGGAGGAGGAGGAGGAGAGGAGGAGGAGGAGGAGGAGGAGGAGGAGGAGGAGGAGGAGGAGGAGGAGGAGGAGGAGGAGGAGGAGGAGGAGGAGGAGGAGGAGGAAGAGGAGGAGGAGGAGGAGGAGGAGGAGAGGAAGAGGAGAAAGAGGAGGAAGAGGAGGAAAATGAGGAGGAAGAGGAGGAGGTTGAGGAGGAGGAGGAGGGTGGGGCGTGTGCTCATGCGATCGGCACGTGTGCAGTTATGGAGCATTCCGATGTTTCATCGCGCGCCGAGTCTCTTTCGAGCTAGAGGATTCCGCAGTTTGCGTGGACCGCTGGGCTCCCATCTCCGTGCACCGTGCGTCTTGAGCAGTGTATGTTTGGGAGCGCCCACTCGAAGCCGACGAGGTTGCTAGGTATACTTGTGCCTTGCACGCCTTGGCTCTTGGCTTGACCCCGGAGGTCACCTATCTGCTGTGGGGAGGGATGGGTCGGGTGCCCATCGGATTGCGCCGCTTCAGTCGTCTTCGTCAGTGCTGTGCCGCTTTGTGGCAGCCGTTCCCTCGGGGGACTGTCCCGCAGGCGTACTGTGTGGTCCGCCCGGTTTTGAGGTCCCAGGGGAGGCGACAGCCATTTCCGACCCTCTCGGCTTCCATGCCGCTTCCCTCTGGCAGAATGCCTGGGCGCTGGAGGGCCCTGCGGCGGCCTGAGCCGCTCCTCGCCTTCCCTCTTCGAGTCGAGTTGATTGTTTCGAGCTCGTTGTTTCGAGTTCATTGTTTCGGGCTCGGTGCCTGGTTGACGTGGTTGATTCGAGTTCATTGTTTCTGGCACTTCCAGCAGCAGCAGGATGGGGGGGAGGAGGTGGGGGAGCATGAGGAGAAGGATGTGGGATGATGCTGATGATTCTGATGATGACGAGCATGATGACACACATGATGTTTATGATGACGATGAGGACGATGACGAGGACGGTGATGGTGCTGGTGGTGATGATGATGATGACGTTGATGATGATGATGATGATGATGATGATGATGATGATGATGATGATGATGATGATGATGATGGTGATGATGATGATGATGATGATGATGAGGATGAGGATGAGGATGAGGATGAGGATGAGGATGATGATGACGATGATGACGATGACGTCGACGACGTCGACGACGTCGACGACGTCGACGATGACTTTGTCGATCGACCATTCGCGTGATGGTGATGGTGGTGGTTTTGACGAGGGTGATCGCTTGTGAGGATGACCATCGCGAAAACGAGGATGACGTGTGAGGCGATGAGGTGCGATAGCGAGGAAGTGAATATTGAGGATGAGGACGGTACTGACGATGGCGATATTGCTGATGCTGATGCTTGTGGTGATGCGGATGATCATGATGAATGACGATGGTGGTGGCGATGATGCTGATGGTGATGATAATGGTGATGATGATACTGCTGATGATACATATGATGATGATGATGATGATGATGATGATGATGATGATGATGATGATGAGGATGAGGATGAGGATGAGGATGATGATGCTGATTATGATGCTACTGCTGATGATGATGCTGATTAGGATGATGATGATGATGATGTTGATGGTGATGATGATGCTGGTGCTGATGATGACGATGATGATGACGATGATGATCATGATGCTGATGATGTTGTTGATGGTGATGATGATGATGATGATGATGGTGATGGTGGTGGTGGTGGTGGATGCTGTTGCTGTTGATGCTGTTGTTGATGATGATGATGATACTGACGATGGCGATATTGCTGATGCTGATGCTTGTGGTGATGCGGATGATCATGATGAATGACGATGGTGGTGGCGATGATGCTGATGGTGATGATAATGGTGATGATGATACTGCTGATGATACATATGATGATGATGATGATGATGATGATGATGATGATGATGATTATGATAATGATGATGCTGATGCTGATGATGAGGATGATCAGGATTATGATGAGGATGAGGATGCGGATGAGGATGATGACGATGCTGATGATGATGATGATGATGGTGGTGGTGGTGGATGCTGCTGCTGTTGACGATGATGATGACGATGACGATGATGATGATGATGATGATGATGATGATGATGATGATGATGATGATGATGATGTTGTTGATGGTGATGATGATGATGATGATGATGGTGATGGTGGTGGTGGTGGTGGATGCTGTTGCTGTTGATGATGATGATGATGCTGATGATGGTGATGATGATGATGGTGATGATGATGCTGATGATGATGATTATGATGATGATGATGATGATGATGATGATGATGATGATGATGATGATGATGATGATGATGCTGATCACGATGACGATGACGATGCTGGTGCTGATTTTTTGACCTCAACATGTTCTCCCCTGCATCCTGGGACACCTCCACGAGCGCCACGAATACGACCGCGATGAGCCAGCACACCGCCGCGAGAGCCGCGATGTCCGCGAGGAGCCCGAGGAACAGTGAGAACAGCACGGGGGGACGTGCTGCCACGGCTTTGGTGTGCCCACGTGTGCCCTGCTAGACGTCGAAGCCGTCCAAATCGTACCCGTCGAGCGGGTCGCCGTTGTCGTCGGAGAACTCCGAGGGGCTCCGCGCGAAGAGACGACCAGCAGCCGAAGACGATTGAGGGCCTGGCACAGCAGGATTGCGAGGTGCAGCACCGTCAACAGTTCCCCCGAAGAGCAACCCTTCACCGGGGTCGTGGGGCAGACCCGCTGGCGCCCCCGCGGCATAGAAGGAAGAGGCAGGCTGGGCAGCAGGGCCGCCCTTCTCCACGGACAGCGCCTGCTCGCTGACCGCGTGGCCAGCGCCTGTGCTCCTCGATCTCCACCATGTACTTGCTCGTCGGCGAAAGCTCCTCAGGCACGGTGGGGTCGCACAGCTCAGCGTCGGACCTCTCCACGAAAACTGCCTCACCCTCAGAGCCGTCCGCCGCGGGGGGTGGGACCCCACGGCGGGATGCTGGCAGCACTGCTCCTCCAGCTCCTCGAAGTCAGCGGGAACCACATCCACGATGACCACCTCGGTCGCTTCGGGCAGCACGCTCCAGACACCAAGCACGAACTCCGCCGCCGACGCCGAGAAACAGAAGTCGCCAAGGGGAGAAGCGTCGCGCCGTGCCTCGAGGCGATGCCCACTCTGAGCATGGCGGAGCGTGACAGCGTCCGCCGCTGCCGTCGATCCCCTCTGCATCTGCATGTAGGGCGACGTTCTTCCGTAACTTCGCCAACCAGCTGGGCACCTCGCTACGCAGCATCGCCAGGAGGGCAGGCATCAGGGCCCGCACCCGCTGCGCCAGCTCCTCGTCGCCGACGAGCATCTCCAGGGCCGCTTCTGCCGTCGCCAGCTGAATGCGGACGGCCTTGAGCTTACAAGGCTCCTGGCCACGGCCCGGTCGCCAGACCAGCGCGCCCAGGCACGCGAGGCTCGGCGAGCTTCGGCCGAGCGCTCTGGGCGGAGAAAGGCTCCGCCCTCCCGCGCCATCCTCAAACCCGGAACACCTCCAGCAGCGCTTACCGGTCGCACATGACGAGCCAGCTTGAGCCTCAGGGGGTGCGCCCGCGCGGCTTGAGCTCAAATGGCTACGGCCGATGCTGGTGCTGATGGTGCTGAGGGTGATTAGGAGGCCAACGAGGACACATGCCGCTCGATGTAATGAGGATGATGCCGGTGACTATTATGACGATGATGATGCTGTTGCTGATGATCAGGATTATCACTATGATTGTGATGAGGATGCTGCTATGATGCTGCTGCTGATGATGCTGATGATGATGATGAGGATGATGTCCACGATGATGATGGTGATGAGAAGGAGGAGGAGGACGAGGAAGAGGAGGGTGATGACGATGCTGTTGACGATAACGGTTCTGTGGACGACGATGACGACGCTGCCGCTAGTGATGTTGATGTTGATGTGTTGATGTTTATGTTCGTATTGCTGTTGTTGATGATGGTGATGATATTGATGACGGACGACGACTCCGTCGACGATGATGTGGATGAGTTTGAGTATGATGAAACATGCTACGATGATGACGATTCTGATGCTGTTCATGATGCTTACGATGGTGAGGCTAAGGAATAGGCGATGAGTGGTCGGGGCGGCCCGCCGCGTAATCACTCCGACCCGTCAGTACGAGCTGGACACCATCAGGAACGAGCTGAATTCGAAGGCGAACGATCCGAAGGAAGAAGCCAAGTGGGGCGCAAAGTGCTCGAGGGGGATGGAGGAAGATAAATGAGGAAACGGAGGGAGGGGCGCCGTAAATTGGGTGTGGGAAGGAAGAGGAGAGAAGAAGGTGGAGGGAAAAGGACGATGCCGATGACGATGACGATGACGAGGTTGCTGCTGCTGATGATGATGATGACGATGACGATGATGATGCTGCTGATGATGACGACGATGACGATGATGATGACGATGATGATGGTGACGATGACGATGACGATGACGATGACGATGATGATGATGATGATGGTGATGATGATGCTGATGAGGATGAGGATGATGAGGATGATGATGATGATGACGATGATGATGCTGATGATGATGATGGATGATGATGATGTTGTTGATGATGATGATGATGGTGGTGATGATGATGATGATGATGATGATGATGATGATGATGATGATGATGATGATGATGATGATGACGATGAGGGTGAGGGTGAGGCTGAGGAGGATGATCATGAATATGTGGAGAACAAGGGGACGTTGCGAGGAGGAGGAGGCGGAGGGTATGAGGAGTATGGGGAGGGAGGTGTGCGAGGAGGAGTAGGGAGGGAGGGAGGGAGGGAGGGAGGGAGGAGACGGACGAGGCTGAGGACGATGTGCAAGAGTATGATGAGGATGAACACATATTTTATAATGTGGAGAAGGGAGGAAATAGAAGGAAGGAATGAGGAGGAAAAGGCGGACTCAGGAGAGACTGGGTGTGTACGAGAAGGGTGGAGGATTAGGCGGAGGAGGAGGACAAGAGGAAATCGAGGACTAGAGGAGACCACTTCAAGACGTCCTCTCGTCCCAAGTCCCTCCACATAATCTTGATCAGGATTTTTTTTCACTGCTGGTGGAAGCGCCCTTATTAATGACCCGGGTCCAATGGCGCCCACCGGTCGGAGGAATGGGCCTACCATTCCAGCGAGAACTTTGTTTTGGAAAGGATTCGCCCTCCTTGCAGCTAGAAGGAGTTCAGAACTGTATTTCCACAACTTTGTCAGATGTTCTCCAGCGAGAGACTCGTTTCGAAAATGATCAAGCCTCCATCCGTGTGTCTTCTGCGCGATTTTCAAGCATTCGAGGAGGTCTCATGCGAGAGCCTCAGTGTAAGCCTTCAGAGAAGTGCGCGCGGCGCCCAGAGGAGAGCTGTACTTTGAAGACAGCCCGCCCCCTACCCGTGTACGTGGAGGGATTTCAAGTTTCAGTGTCTGATATGGTGATGAATTCGCAGGCGAAGCGCCTGGCCCGCCCTGCTGACAGGTCTGACATGCGACGAGGAGGAGTTATCCAGAAACCAGAATAATGGCGGGTGAGGATGAGGATGAGGATGGTAGGGGGAGGAGGCGGAGGAGGCGTAGGGAGGAGGGAAACGAGGAGGACCACAATGTTGCGGAGGATGATGACCAGTGTAAATCGAAGACGCATCAACGATGTTGCATTCAACCCTCCTTCCAAGTTCTTGCTCATAGGCCCCATACAAGAATTTATTGTCATTGCGGAACGTGCAACATTGGGAGACAACAGTTTGATATTCCTCACTGTACCAAAACGAAGTTCCTGCCACGTCCGCGCCGCGAATCAACGTGACTGTTGCGTCCTGACAATCCTAAATCGCACCGGAACGCCATTGCTGGGACTTCAACCATACGAGCCCTTGAAACTGTTGCAACCTGCTAAGACGAATGTGCGCGGGGCTGAGGCGAGAGCCACGTTATGAAAAGAAACCGCCCTTGATGCTCGAGGCAGTTGAAGAATTTCAACCGAATGTGCGCGGCGTGAAGACGTTGACCACATTTGGAAAAGAAGCAGCCCTTTATTCTTGAACCGGTTGCAAGTTTCAAGCTTCAGGATCACCAATGATGGGAAAGTCTCAGGCGAACTGCTGGGCCGCCATGCCGACACGTCTGGGGGTATGACGGGAGGAGTTGTTAGTACAATGGATGGAGGTCGGAGGATGAGGACGCGGGGGTGGGTGGGGAGGAGGCGGAGGTAGAGGGAGACGGGAGGATGGAGGAGGAGGATAAGGAGGAGGAGGAGGAGAAGGAGGAGGAGGAGGAGGAGGATGAGGATGATGATGAGGATGAGGATGAGGAGGAGGAGGGAGGAGGAGGAGGAGGAGGAGGAGGAGGAGGAGGAAGAGGAGGATGCAGAGTATAATGATGATGAGAAGGATGAGGAGGAGGAGCTTGGATGGATGGGAGGAGGAGATGGAGGAGGAGGATGGAGGAGGAGGAGGACGAGGAGGAGGAGGCAGGATGTTGTTGAGGGAGGAAATGCAGGATGACGAGGACGATGAGGATGAGGATGACGTGGAACGAGGAAGAGGAGGTGGATGGCAGGTACGATGACAAGATCGAGACCCTCGGGACGAAGTCCGTGTTCGCGTCGGCCAAGCTGGTGGAGAGCCTCAGGTTCAAGGCAGCGACGAGGAGGAGGAGGAGAAGGAGGAGTACAGTTGAGACCCATGCCAAGAAACACCCTGCTTGCCTCCAGGGTGCCCTTGGTTTCTTGGGTTTCGATGGTTTTGCTGTGGAAAGCGCGACGTTCCTACGCAAAAATCAATGGACGTCCTGGGGTCTCAGGGTTGAGTTTCTTCTGGAAGGTTTCTTGTGGACTGGCTTCCACTGTAGGGGGAGGGGCAGGAGGAGGAGGAGGAGGAGGAAGACAAATGCAAGGATTATGAGGACGGTTGGGTGGGTGGTTCCCCAAAAGTGAGGGTAGACTTTGATCGACTCCCTTTCGAGGCAGAGGAGTTCGTGGGCCACCACAAGGAGATCGACAACGCCCGGTTCGTGCACATGTTGGCGCACATGCTGAACCAGTCGTGGAACGACATCCAGGATTTCACCTCCCTCGGTCCCTTCCCTCCTTCGCTTCCTCCTCCCTCTCTTCTCGTCCCTCCTTGTCCCTGCGCCTCTTCCCTCCGCTTCATCTTCGTCGTCGTCGTCTTCGTCCTCCTCCTCCTCCTCCTGCTCTGCTTCTCTCCTGTACTTTCTTCTATTCCTATCACTCCTCTTCCTCCGCCTTTGTCAAGTCTGGGCTTGGCGGATGCAGCCGCAAAAGGCTCTTCCCGACGTGGGAATAGATCGTGGTCGTTGTTAGCCCTACGGACTGAAGCCAAATATGCCGTGGGGCCTGCGCCTTCCAGCAACGCCAGTCATTTTTACAGTTCTTGACGAGACGATCGGCCCTTGGCTTGGTTGAATGGGCCCTGGGCGATCATACACATGCGCCAGAGTCGCCCGATGATGGTGATCATCCCGACCTGCCCCTGCTGTAAGTCCTATAGCGTCGGGCCGACCAGCCTTGCCAGCCTTTCCTGAGAGTTTGCCACGGCTCGATGCCGACAGATCCCGACACGCGGCACTCCCGCCACTGGGAGCCCCCGCATCGACCTCCTCCCGACCTCCTCCGAGGATCGAGACTGTTGGGCGTTTTTGGTCCTTCCAAGCCCTCGAAGCTCCAACCACAGCCTTGTTTTACGGCCGAGCTGGCTTTCCTTCGCGGATGCCAGAGAGGTCTGGTGCCAGCTTCCCACGTCAGAAAGGGGGTATGATGTCGCTTCTGACGCGAAATTCGAACAGCGACATCCCATGACTCTTTCTGATTTTTGGGTATTGCCATCATTGTCTGGTTGATGCCGCTTTTAGCGTTCTGTTATACCGATAAAGTTTGCGCATCACCATCGCTTAAATACTATGTGCTATTAGTTCTTTTATGGTCACGATGTCTGAATGATGATCGATTTCTGATGCTGCTGGCAGGGGGGAGGGAGGGGTTTCCCCCTCTCAAAACGAGGGGTGAGGGGGGTTCTGGAGCCCCGCGCCCAGCGCGCGCCAGGCATCCCAGCTGTGCAAAGACGGAGCGGCGGAGCATCTCAATGGGGCAAAAGCTATTCCTCCTCCTCTCTCTCCTCCTCCTCGTCCTCGTCCTCCTCCTGAGTCCTTCTCTATCCCTTTTCCTTGTAGATACCTCCTCACTGTCGCACCCCGAGGCCGGTCGAAAGGGCGGTTTGGGCGTTTCGCTGGAGGCTTCCCAGCCATTTTTAGTCCTCAAGCTTGAAATTTTGTAACAGTTTCACGTCGTTTTCAAAATGTGGCTCTCGCCTTGGCACCGCGCACATTCGTTGTAACAAATTGTGGCAGTTTCGCGGGTGGAGGGCGATTCTTCTCTGACGTGCGGCTCTAGCCCCAGCGCCGCGCACATTCGTCGCAACAAGTTTCAGCACTTTCAAGGGTTCTCGTAGCTAAGATCCCCCAAACGGTGTTTTGGCACGATGCCGGACTGTCAGGGCGCAGCAGTTAACGTTCATTCGCGGTGGTGAAGTCCCAGAAATGGTATTCTGGTACAATTCAGGATCGTCAAGACGCGACAGCCGCGGTGATTCGCGGCGTTGAAGTCCCAGGATTGGTGTTTTGGAACAGTTCAGGATTGTCAAATCGTTGTCTTCCCAATGAAAATGCATCCTCGTATGGGCCTATGAACAGGGAACTTGGAGGGAGGCTTTGTTGCAACATCATTGATGCTTCTCGGATTTACACTGGTCCTCCTCTTCTCCTCCTCAACCTCCTCCTCCCTCCTCCCTCCTCCCTTTTCCCTCCCCCCTCTTCGCTCCCCTCCTCTTTCGTCCTCCCTCTTCCCCCCCATTCCGTGCGAGGACTTCCGGTCTGAACACAGCGGATACCACAAGCGGATCGTGAGCGACATGGCGGCCCCCGACAAGTTCACGTCCTCCCTGTCCCTGGCCATCAACGGGGTGACCCCAGGGACCGGCTGCCCACCCTTGCTGACTTCCTCGCCACTGCGAAGAGGCCTCGACGGAAGGTCTTGGGTCCTTCCCCCGGCCTCCGAGGGCCCTTGCCGGGTCCCCCCCCCGGCCGGTGGGAACGGCCAGGGGTCAAGAGGCCGGTCCCGAGGAAGGGGTCCAGACCCACGGTGCGAATGAATATCGCGACGTTGGATGTCTGGGTCCCCTTCTCCCCCTCCCCCGCCCTTCCCCTCCTCGCCCCCCTTCCTCGCTCTCCCCCCTACAGCCTCATCTCCTCCTCCCCGCTCCTTGCTCCCCCTCCTCTCCCTCGTCCCTTCCACAAGTACGCAACATGAGTACTACTCTCCTCTTTCCCCTGTTTCTGTCCGGAGAGTCTCCTGTCCTCTCCGTGTATTTTTTTCAACACAGGAGTTCATCAGGTTGTTTTACCTATGTATCTTTAAATCCGGTCGCTTCTGGTCCTTCCACAGTGGTGCTCCCGCTACAGCGCCGCCCTCATTTCCGCGCTTCGGTCATTCCAAATCGTGCTCCTACTGCAGCGCTGGCCCCGTTCCTGCGCCTTCGGATGGCACTTGGCATTCGAGAGCGCCCACATTGGGCGGGCACGGGTGCGGAGGACGTGGGGCTGGCATGCCAGACAGGCCCTGTACTCTCGTACGCGGCCTATTGCCCTCCCAATGCGATGCTGTGTTGTGCACCGCTGTGCGATGCCATGCTTTGCGTTGCTATGCTTCGTGACGCAACGCTGCACTACGCAATTCCACGCCATGCTATGACATGCTATGCTCTGCCGTGCTCGTCTACGCCATGCTTTTCCGTCCATCGCGTACCTTCTTGGCGTCATTGCCCTGCTCGACATCCGACTGTGTGCATAGATCGGAGATCTACGCCATGGTAAGTGATGGGAGGGATGGGAAGGACGTCTGATGTGACGCTAGCGTACCTAGCTTGTCCCCCCCCCCTCCTCCCTCACCTCCCCATCCGTCCTCCCTCCTCCCTCTGCTCGCCCCCCCCTCCTCGCTCTCCGCATCCCCGCCGCTTCCCTCCCTCGCTCCCCTTCCTGCCCCTCCTCCTCCCTCCCCTCCCCCTTTCCCGACCCCCTCCTCGCCCCCCGTCGTCGCCCTCCTCGCTCCCTCTCCTCGCCCTCCTCGCCCTCGACAGTTCCACAACATGAATACTACTCTCCTCTCTCCCCTGGTGACGTCTGGAAGATATCCGGCTCCCCTCCGCGTATTGTTTTTTACACCAGATTCCTGGGAAATGGGTTTTCGTTAGGTTTTTCTTCGAAATGTTGCTCCCGCTGAAGCGCTGTCCCCATTTCTGCGCCTCTGGTTGTTCCAAATCGTGCTCCCGCTGCAGCGCGGGCGTTCTCTGTCCTTCCAGACAGGTCCCAAACTTTTTGAAATTCCCCCCCCCCGGAAAAAAAAAACCCATCAGAAGTGATTCCACATTCGGTGTCGATTCGTTGATTTTTCGGGCCGCAAGAGCTCCTTATTTGGGGCGTTGTCGTTCTTAGGAAGTATCAAGCGGGAGCCCCGTTTCTGCTTTGAGGAGGCGATGTTGGAAGCAGAGCCAGCGGGTGCTCCATCAGCCCCGCCATGTGTGGACCTATTCGGGGAGCGCAAGGAGCTAGACATGGAGCCGCGACTCCAGACCAGCCCAGACTTTTCGAAAACGATCCACTTACCCTCCAAGGAGCCCGGCGCCATGCCATGACATGCTGCGCGGTGTTGCGTTTTGCGCCGCTGTGCGATGCCATGTTTTGCGTTGCAGAGTTTTGTGATTCAATGCTTCAACGCGCAATGCCACGCCATGCTATAGCATGCTGCGCTCTGCCTTGCTCTTCTACGCCATACTATGCCGTGCTCTACCATGTATCGCGTACCCTCTCGCGATCGTTGCCCTGCTCGACATCCGACTGCGAATAGACAGGACATCTGCGCCATGGGGCGGGATGGGAGGGAGGGGTAGGACGTCATTTATGACGCCAGCGCACCTAGTTTGCCGTTCCCCCCTACACGCTCCCCCCTCTGCCCCTTGGCCCTGGTCCGTTCGGCCCAGGGCTGGGTTTTCGGAGCACATCGGATTCCTTCGGGCCGCGTGACTTAGCATTCGCCAAGCCTCCCGCACAAAAGGTAATGTTTGGACCTCCTCCTGGGTGCCAGCCATTCGAGGACCGTCTCCCCCGCCGCCCCGCCCTCCCGCTCCCCCTCCCCCTCCTCGTCACCCCCGCGCCCTCGCCCTAACCCATCCCCCATCTCCATCATCCCCCCTCCGCCCCTCCCTCCTCCTCTCCTTGCCCCTCCGCCTCCCCGTCCCCTATCTCCCCCTCCGCCCCTCCCTTCTCGTCCCCTTTCGCCCACTGCCGCCTTCCCCGCCCCACCTCCCCCGCTACTTCTCCGCCCCCGCCCGCCCTTTCCGTTCTCCCCCCAGCCCCCGGTCCAGTGGTGACTTCGGTGGTCGGGGCCCCGAGCGGCCGCCGCCCCAAAGCTTGTCATGAGTCACCTGCAAGGTCTGGAATCCTGGCCCAGAGGCATGTTTTCAGTGGTATTGTTTTGGCTGTTTTGTCATCGTTTTGTGGTGTAGCAGATGTATGCATTTTCAAGGTTAGTTTTAAGCATGTTGTATATGCTGACAGCGATTCTATTACATACGCATAGATGTATTATACATCTACATAAATATACATATGTATATATATATATACGTAATGATATATGTTTATATACATATATTAAAGTGGCCTTCGTCCAGTGCCACCGATCCGCGTCGCTCGGGGTTACCCCCCAGACGCAGACATTACGGGCGCACGCTCAAACACGCACACACACACCACACGCCACACCTCACGCACGCACGCTACCAAATGCGCCGTGTGTGCATTTGGTAGTGTGCGTGCGTGAGGTGTGCGCGTGGTATGTGTATCCGATGGGCGTGCGTGCGCGTGCGTTTCCTGAGCGGGTATGTGTGTGTGTGTGTATGTGTGGTGGTGTGTGTGTGTGTGTGTGCTTGTGTGTGTGTGTGTGTGTGTGTGTGTCTGTGTGTGTGTGTGTGTGTGCATGTCTGTGGCGCGGTTTGGGTGGTGTGTGTAGTAATATGACATGAGTGTGTACGCCACCAGAACCCTCCCCTCCCGGGCCGCCCCTCCCAGGCAAACCAGGCGTTCTGAGGCGGTTTCTCAGGAAATCCAATGGTTTTCAAAGCAAACCCACGCCACCGGACCCCCCCCCCACGCCACCAGAACCCACGCCACCGGACCCCCCCCCCACACCATGCCACCAGAACCCACGCCACTGGAACCCCCTCCCCCTCCACGCCACCAGAACCCACGACACCAGAACCCCCTCCCCGCTCCCCCCCCTTCCCAGGCAAACCAGGCGGTTTGAGCGCGGTTTTCAGAAAATCCAATGGTTTCTAAAGCAAACCCACGCCACCGAGACCCCCCCCCACCCAGCCACAGAAACAACGCCTGACCCCCCCCCCTCCCCCCTCCCCCCTCCCCCCCCACGCCACCAGAACTCACGCCTCCGGACCCCCCCCCCCTTTCCTCCTCCCCCTCCCCGGCAAAGCCACCCCGGTCACCCCCACCCCCTTAAACTCACACGCCGGATCGGCGGATTTCAAAAAATAAATGAATACCGCCCCCCCTGTCCTGGGGTCCCACACCTCCCCCCCGCATCTCGGGGACGCTCCCAGTACCGCTCCCCCGGCCTTTCCGGGGAGCCTCCACAGCGCCCCAGGAGGGCCCAAGACGCCTCCCAGGAGTCCACAGAATGCGAAAGGATGGTCCAAGACGCTCCCAAGCAGCCCAAGTCAGCCTTCCGACGGCTCTCGAGGCTCCCAGGTGGCCTCCAGGAGACCCCAAGAGAGGTCCGAGAGGCGTCCCAGGGGGCCAACTCGTCGTTAAAAACATGTTCTTGGCTTCTCGTGTTTTCGAGCTTCCAACGCTCCAAGAGCGCCGAAGAGCCGCGCCAAACCGCCCCAAGACCACCCAAGAGACCCTCAGGACGGCCCCAAGACGGGCCAAGAAGGCTCCAAGACTGCCGAAGATGCGGCCAGGACAGCCCAAGACCACCCCAGAACAGGCCCAAGATGGGCCCAAGAGCGGGAGCAGGAGGCTTCAGAGTCCTCCGAGAGGCCTCTGGGACCACCCAAAGGCCCCCAACACACCCCCGATCTCTGAGAGCCCCCGAAAAGACCCCGACGAGGCTCCAAGAACAGCCCAAGAGAGCTGCGAGAGCCGTCCCGAGAGAGCCCAAAGAGGGTAAAATCGTTGATTTCCCAAGGTTTTTCTGATGTTTTTCGCCTTCTCACGTTTTCCCGCTTCCAACCCTCGAAGATCGAGGATTTTGAAAAAAAAAAGAATTCCCAGAATTCACTTTTTTTCAAACTGACACTCCTACTCGGAGATCCCACACATCCCCTGGCATCTGGCCGGTACCGCGCCTCTGGGCTTCCAGGGGGGTCCCCAAGACGCCCAAGGACAGTCCAAGACGACCCCAAGGAGCCCCCAGAACGTAAAGAACGGCCCAAGACACTCCCAAGCAGTCCGAGACACCCTTCCGACGGCTCTCCAGGCCTCCAGGAGGCCTCCAGAACCCCCAGGGGGTCCAGAAGATCCCACACCCCTGAGGGGCCCGGCTAACAAACCCGCGAGGCACAAACAAAAAACAGCGCCGAACAGCGCCGAGGAACTGGAAACAAATGGAAATCCCACAATTCATTTTTTCCGTTTGTTGTTATTGTTGTTGTTGTTGTTGTTGTTGTTGTTGTTGTTGTTGTTGTTGTTGTTGTTGTTGTTGTTGTTGTTGTTGCTGTGGCTGTTGCTGTTGCTGTTGCTGTTGTTGTTGTTGTTGTTGTTGTTGTTGTTGTTGTTGTTGTTGCTGTTGTCGTTGTCGTTGAACTCTCATTCTTGAAGAATAATTATTGTTGATCCCCCCCCACCGGTGCACATTGTTTTTTTTCGATTGAAGTGCCACCCCCCGGGCTCGC